AAGAGGCTATCTTATATTAAATTGAAGTAAAATACATTTTTGATCCATAAGATTTGAATTTAGTTTATGTGAGATCCCACATCGGTTGTGGAGGAGAATGGATCACCTTTTATAAGGGTGTGGAAACCTTTCCCTAGCAGATGCGTTTTAAAACCTTGAGGGAAAGCCTCAAAGGAAAAGCCCAAAGATAACAATATCTTCTAGCGGTGGGCTTGGACCATTACAAATGGTATAGAGCCAGACATCGGTCCATGTGCTAGCGAGGAGGTTGAGCCCCCAAGGGGGTGGACACAAGGCGGTGTACTAGCAAGGATTGTGAGATCCCACGTTGGTTGGGGTGGAGAACGAAACAACCTTTATTAAGGGTGTGGAAACCACTCCCCAACAGACACGTTTTTAAAACTTTGAGGGGAAGTCTAAAAGGAAAATCACAAAGAGGACAATATCTACTAACGGAGGCTTTGGGCTGTTACCGTTTCTATTTGGTTCTTTAGATTTTAAAGTGACATATTTGGTCTCAATGGTTGGTATATTATATGGATGTGTCAACATGCCCCATCCCCATTATAGCATTCGACTTGTGTTTCGTTTCTAACGCTGAATTGAATCTTATTTGAGCACTAACAATAAACCAACGATCTTTCAAACAGACAAACACCGCAATATACCAAGACGTTTTTTCTTGCCTACCGAGCGACCTCATAAACTCCAGGTATGATTTATGCTATTCATACAGAGTCAGTCGAACCCCAGTCTTATAACGAACTCTTAAACGCATTTAAATACAGAGCTGGATTGAGACAAAGCGTGGCGATGTGGAAGGAGAAACTGGGGCACACAACAATAGACTTAGGGATTGCACCAGAGAAGCTTGAGGTTTATAAGAATGGAGAAATTGAAAAGATTGATCCAATGGAGAGATTAAGTTCAGTGAAAGGGCATCTTGTTTCCTTCCCATTGGAATTCCTGAGCAAAGAAGATTTAAGACCTGTGTTCAATGAGAGTGAGTACTATGCATCTCAAGTTTTTCATTAAATCTTTTATACATATTCCCCTGTTGTTTTGTTAGGCCTAATTAATTAAGTGTTGAATTATATTACTTTATTTCCCTTTTTTTTTTTTTTTTTTTTTTTACAAAAAGAAAAATAAGAAAGAGAGATATGAAGGCTCGTGATGATAATAGGACTTTTGTAATAATACTCATTTAATTAATACAAACATTCTTGTCCTAATTTGGGCACTTATACTAATGATGCTTAAGAGTGTGGATTAATAATAATCACGTAGTTTCTTTATCTTTCGAGGGACGTTGGCTGAACGTCGGAGATTGATATACTATTGAGTTATGTTTATATATACAATAATGTTTTTTTTTAGATGTTTTTGAGGAAAGAAAATTTAATCTTTGTTTTGGCATTACAAGAGGTAATAAAAGTTGTTTCGTTTTAAGGTACTACTAATGTTAATTAAAAAACGTGCACGAGTTGATGAGCTTCAAATTTTCATGATGAATAGTGAATGATTGGGAGGGAAAATTCCTATGACACGAGTGTGCTTACTATTTCACGTGCATTCATGTAGTATTGTTTAGTATTGAGAGATAAGGTTTTGTTCGGGAATAGAAATCCTAAGAAAAGTTGATTAAGTCATATGGATGTTCTTATTGTTTAAAAGACAGACGTCAAAAACAAACATCAGACTCTTTATCTTAAAAATACTTTTTAATTTTCAAAAGTTTTAATAATATCACTTAAAAAATTTTAAAAATGCGGTTAATATTTTATTTTTAAAATATCATAACTTTCAAAAGTTTTCAGAGTAATTTTAGATTTTCTTAAAACCTTCACATGAAAAAATATCGTTAGTTTCATATTAAAAAAATACTTAAAATTTTCAAAAGTAACATTAAAAAGTTTGAAGATAATCTATAAAGTATCGATATACGATTTTCATTCAATAATATTTTTTTTAATATTTTTTTTTATGAAGGTAAAAAGCATTTCAAATATAACATGAAAAGTAGTTTTATCAAATTATTTAAAAATTTTAAGAATATTATTAAAATTTTTAAAAGTTGCAATATTTTTATTAATTTAGTATTCCATTTTTTTAATCTAAAAAATTAGCATAAAAAATCTTTAATTTTGAGATAGACACATCCACCCCCAACAAGCCAACTGGCTCGTCGGTAGCCTTTTCTTTTGAATAAGAATAAAATTGACATTTTAAAAGTGAATAAATTAGTATTAAATAAATAAATAAATAAAGCAGAAAAAAAATGTGGTCCAACTTTGGATGGTATTATGAGATTCACTTATTGTGGTCGCCGAGCCCCCAACAAGCCACCTGGCTCCTCCGTACCCACCAATTTTAGATTTCTCCACTTTTCACTCACATTCTCAAACATTCGCCACAACTCACATCATTTCTAATTTAATATAAATTTATATCATAAATTATAGTGGACTACTTCCACTTTCTATATATTCAATTTCTTACCATTATTAATTTCTATTTTTCTATTAATAAAAATACTTTTAAATATTAAAAATATTAAACTTTCAAATATTTTATTTCATATATATATATATATTATATATCATTTAATTTTCAAAAATGTTTTACAAACCCTCTCCAGTTACGTACTTAGTTGAATAAAAAAATTCTATTAATGAGAACTTTCTTTAGACATCTCAAAAAAACATGAAATGGTACGATCCCTTCGTCATCTTGAATGAAATGGGTGATCTCGTAGTTCTTGGTCTGTGAAGATACATTGTTAGGTGCTCCGTTTTATTTTTCCATTGACGCCGAACCTACACTTGTATTCGAGAGATAGCTGTCTATGGATGATAATAGATGTATGGATTCTCGAGAAGAGAGGAGCCGATGCAGTCCCTAAACCGCCCGGATTCTACGAATGAATAAAAAGTAATGAAACTTTTTAAAGTTTAAGGTTATTTTTAAAATACACCAAATATTAATGATTTGAGGTGTTTTTAATTTTTTTTTTTAGACCAAACATAGGATATTTTTATTTATTTAATTTAATTATATGAGAAATTAGAGGGGAATTTATTTTCTGAAAAGAAAAAAATATATCTTTTGTTCTTTTTTTTTTTTCCCACAATTTTCTATTTTTATGTCTGGAAATAGAAAATTATGTTTTTAATAATACACTAGATATTTAGTTTTTTTAATTTTTATTTTAAAAAAATTAAGCTCATAGTTTTTTTCCTCAATTTTCCAAAAAAAAAAAAAAAAAAAAAAAA